CTAATGCGACGCCCTCCGCCGCCCCTATTTTTCTAAACTAGAGAAACCACACAAATACCCTCCCCACCTCCCCCAGCCCCAAATTCACACACAATCTCTCCATCAGCATCCTGAAACTATACTGCAGAATTCATTCCAATCTCGCCCTCAGTCCCTTGCAACTAAACTAGAGAATTCACCCACCAATCGCTCACTCAGTCCCTTGCAACTAAACTAGAGAATTCACCCACCAATCCCTCACTCAGTCCCTTGCAACTATACAACAATTCACCCACCAATCTCTCCCTCAGCCCTCTGTAACTAAACTACAGAAGTCACACCCACATCTCTCCCACAGCCCCCCCTCCCTCCGTGGGTAAACTAAGAGAAACCCGAGTATGATCTCATCACGCGGTCCCACCCACCTCGAATATATTGGATTGCCTTACTGTAACAAGAGATCGCATAGCTATAGCGTGGTTGAGCGGTGAGCGAACAACAATCAAAGCTTATGAACGAGAACGGCTTCTTTAACCGAGCGGCCGAAATTGGGGGTGGGGTGGGGGGTGTGAGGGATTCTCCGATTAAATTCGGGGGTGGAGGTGGGAGGAATTCTCGTATTATAATCGTTGTTGTTGTTGTTGTTGTTGTTGTTGTTGTTGTTGTTATTATTATTATTATTATTATGCACGTAAACTCGCGAGTTGTTACTGCCGAATGGAATACATGCAAGGATTTTGCAGCTACGCGACATTTCATCCAAATGCCTGGTCAATTCATCCAGGGTCTGGCTTTCTATCTGTATCGCTGGCTGTCAACTCACTCCTGTCTTTTGACGCCGTCACTCGGCTTTCAGTTAAGTTTATTCGGATGCCAGTAATCCCCCACAATCTACGCTTCACCAATATACCCAGCCAATCTCGCTAACACCCCACCCCACACACACACCACCGCATACATCTCTCATTCTCTCTCTCTACTCCCCAGACTCCTCCCGCCATTACACCTCCTCCAACCACCACACGTCCTGAAGTTCTTGACTTTTTCTTTCGTGTTGTTTAGTTCCGTCTTTCTATAGTTTCGTCGAGCTAGTTTTCGCAGGGGATTAAATTTTTTGTTCCTGCGTGAGTAGTTGGCATGACAACTACGGAGTTCTGAAATCCGGATGAAGAGCAGATAGATTTCATAGAGGGGGCGGGGGGGGGTGAATCTTTGTTGGTCTGTACGCAGACTGGCTGGATGGCTCAGTGTGCACACAGATACTTACATATCCACAGTTTCTCCCTCTCCTACTCTACAGACAAGATCGATCCCGCCCCCTCCAATAAACACGATAAAGCCTTCTTTTTGGGGGAGGGAAGCGAAGGACCCTACACTTTTCTTCGCTCATTCTGCTTCGTCAGGTTGCAAAGAATTGCTTCTTGTATTATTTTACTATCTGTATTATAATTGTACAGTATAATTATATATAGATTGAAATAACTTCCATTTCGCATCCACCCTCCCCCCACCCCACCACACCCTTCCCCCACCCCACCCCACCTTCCCCCCACCCAACCGTAAGCCACCTGTCTGAAGTCGACTACCGATCTAGAAAACATGAATATTAAAACAGTGAACCAATCCAAAACAAGAGTAATTAACGATTAAAAAAACTCGTCAAAACAAATTAGGTCATTAAAAGACACAGCAACAAACCGTGAAGCATACAATTTGACACACACAAACACACACACACATACACGGGTAAAACGAACACCTTCCCTTATATTAATGACAGTTGACAGTGCAACTTCGACACACAGCTGCATGAGCGGACAATAAACGAGCAACCACACACCACACTAAGATACGCAGAAAGACCCCCCCCCACCGACCCTCACCGACCGCGCACTGCTGGTTGCCATGACAACTTGCCCCTATCCGTCTGGCGCGACTGAGACACGCAAGCCAATCAGCGTTGCGATAGGACGTTCCAAAAGACATCGCTTGGCAACGAAGTGCCGCAAAGTCGAGTTTTCGACGCGCACGTTCGAAAAACACGCGCAACACGTCTAGCTTGACGGCAAGTGTACGGCTAGTAGCCACCTTATAATTATTCAGACGGATAGGCCCATTTGCCACGATGCAGCAGCAGCACAGCATGCACCACACGTACATGCACGGGGTAGGTCGTAGAGGGAGGGGGGCTACCGCCGCACCACACACACGCACATGCACGGACGCATGGCATGACCAGGAGCGCACGACGCCTGCGCCCCACCGGGTCCCTCCCCCTCCCTCCCCCCACCGGACAACACCACGCCTCCACCGCCCCTCGCCGCTACCGGTGTTTACCAGCAGGGGGCGCTGTCGGGGTACGCCGCGCCCTCCATCGCCGGACGCTAGGCAACCCCGTTGCAGTGTGTCGGCTGTGAGACGCAGCACACTGGACTGACACTAGATGCCAGTGTTTGTCTATTTCACCTTACCATACACTTTCACCAACACATTTATCTACTAGTATATCGACATATATACGATAATATATACGATACAATCTAGTTTACCATCCCAACACACCCCGCCTACACTCACATTTATCTACTAGTATATCGACATATATACGATAATATATACGATACAGTCTAGTTTACCATCCCAACACACCCCGTCTACACTCACATTTATCTATTAGTATAACGACATATACAATAATATATATGATACAATCTAGTTAACCATCCCAACACACCCCGTCTACACTCACATTTATCTACTAGTATATCGACATATATACAATACAGTCTAGTTTACCATCCCAACACACCCCGTCTACACCCACATTTATCTAGTCTACCCTGCCACATGTACAGATATACATGTACTGCTTACCAGAGCAGTGGCGGCTGCCCGTGACCGATGATCGCACTTGCCCAACATGCTCGGATGATTCCGGCTTGCGAACGTAGAGGGCGCCAGCGTCGGACTATCGCACACCGCACAATCCCGCCCGAACCCCGGCGCCCAGTGGCGCCCCCTATTTCCCGACCCGATGACGGGACGGGACTCGAATGAAACTGGTCGCGACCCGCCGCTACGCGCCAGAGCGGCGCCCCCTATACAACTGTCCGCCGAGACTCCGCCTCGCGGCGCCCTCTACCCATCCTCCCTCCCCCAACCACCCCCGACGAATCGTATTATACACGTCATTGACGATCGATAACGACGACGACGAAGAAGAAAACGCGTAACTTACTCGGTTCGCTGGAGACGGACAGCAAGCCGCCGGCAGCGGCCGACTGCTGCTGCTGCTGCTGCTGCTGCTGCTGCTGCTGCGGCGTCGGCGCGCCGTGGACCGCCGACGGTGTGAGCGCGGACATCGAGTGAGGCGCCGCCGGCAGGTGGTGCTGCGACGCGGCGGCGGCGGCGGGGTCCTTATCGTGGAGTCCCGCGGCGGCTGCAGATGCTGCGGCGGCGGCGGAGGAGGAGGATGAGTCCTTGTCGTGGTGGGCTTCCCTATTCTCGCGGTATTCGCGTCGCAGCTTCAGCACCTGGTCGATGCGATCCTTCACGCAGCGGCAGACGAGACGCACGTCCTCCTCCAGCAGGTAACCCGACTTCACCTGTACGCGCGGGAAGACAGAATACTCGTTAACACGACAGGTAGACGACAGGTAGGCGCACGTCCTCCTCCAGCAGGTAACCAGACTTCACCTGTACGCGCGGGAAGAGAGAATACTCGTTAACACGACAGGTAGGCGGACTTCACCTGCGTATGGGAAGAAATACTCGTTAACATGGCAGGTAGATGGCAGGTAGATGGCAGGTAATCCGACTTCACTTGTGTGTGAACGTGTCTTACAGCAGTTGCTGGTGACAGTAGAGAGACAGACAGACGGCGGGCCACAGCGGGAGAGAGAGAGAGAGAAGGAGAGAGGAGGAGAGGAGAGAGAGAGAGAGAGAGAGGAGAGAGAGAGATAGAGAGAGAGGAGAGAGAGAGAGAGAGAGAGAGAGAGAGAGAGAGAGAGAGGATGAGAGAGGAGAGAGAGGAGAGAAGAGAGAGAGAAGGACAGACAGCGCTTCGATCTCGGTCCACCGCCGAGGATTGCAAAGGATGGCTGTTACTTAGACTTTGATCGAGACCCCATAACATGTTACACGGCACGATTATCTACTAGTTATATGTATATGTAGATTATATATATTATATATGTGTAATATATATTATATATATATATATGTAGATATAATATATTATGTATATATTAATAGCATCGCCTCTCGTTCGGCACGCGACACTGATTGGCTTCGTGCGGCACCAGAGACTAGCAAGCCAATAATTTGCCTGCGCTGACAACTGTTTGATGCGGATATCATCAGAGAGGACTTCGGAAGAGACGAGCTTGTCTACGGCTACGTTGTATGACGACCGACGACATGCACGCAGCACGCACTACCACGCAGGCAAGCACGCCACCGTACACAACAACACACACAACACCGCACACGAGCACCGCACAAGCGCACACAGCAACGCACGACGCACTACGCACAGCCATCGCACACGCACACGCAAGCAAGCACGCCACACGCAACGCACACGAGCAACAACGCACCACGCACACCACACGCACAACGCACACGCACACAGCACACGCACCGCACACCACACAGCACACGCACACACACACACAACAACACACACACACAGCACACACAATGGCCATTGACTCGGAGCCAGATTAAGCGGGCCACTGGAATCTTGCCAAGTTTGTCGAATTCTACGTGTTCGCGCGCCGACTTGCATTGTCGTGACTGATATGATGGCCAGTCAAGCATTTTATTCTTCCACTAAGCGTGCTAGCACATGATCAGGCAGACCGGTAGATCACCCACGACCCAGGCACTCAGCAACACAGCTTACATGCTATAGTTGCTAGTTTATATGGCTGTGTGGGGTGGGAGGGCGGGGGGGGTGAACACTTGCCACAACCACACCATGAGACACCACGCAAGCAGGCTAGGTGAGAACGGAAGAC